GCCCCTTTATATTTATTAGTCCGTAGAGAATTTAGCCGTCTAAAGTCAGAAGCCAAGAATCTAAAGAAGTCAGTAGATTTGGACCCTTCATATTCACCCAAGAGGAACTTCACTATATGTCCGTCTGTGCATCGCAGAAGGCTCAACATTAGTCACGAAATATGTTTACAGCCGCGAAAGAATTAAATTATGAATTGATTATAAAATATTTTTATTCTAAGCATCGATGGACCGAGTTAGGACAACTGAAATGTTGACTTAACAATTTATTAACGGCAACCACCAAATAGCCGCTGTACGGGAGCAGACGTAAGACTCTTATGTTTATAAATCAAAAATTAAGAGCAACCAGTCATGCACAACAGTGCAGCAAAGAGACAAAACTGTAAACAAGGTAAACCAGTGAAGGGGGGAAGGTACCTAGTTAAAGTTAAGCATGAGGGTAGCCACTTCTTCCAGTGCCTTTAGTAACCCATTAAATATTGGGACAGAGAAAAGAATAACCCTTTCCATACGTTTCAGATCGACTCATGCCAATGGATTCAAATGGAAGTCTTCAAGAATTAAACAAATCCTCAGTTCAATGAGTACAGTCCTGAAGAAGGTTCAGAGTCGAGGGATCATTCAGAAGCCAACGTTTCAGACAACAACGACATCGTCGGTCATCAGGACACAGCTGTACAAGCCGAAAGGCTCGCTTCTGAATAAAGCCTTTCGACTGTGAACCTTCTTCGTGACCATAGTCACTGAATAGGAAGACATATTCTTTCCGTAAGGGCTTCTTTGAAGCTGCACGCCGACAGGCGGTGAACAAGCAGCTACGCGGGACGATCAAACGTGAGGAACGGCGAAGGCAAGGCATGATGAAAACAGATTGATGAACGCCTATGAACTAAAATAGATTTTTATGCATTTTTGATAAGTTTAACGATAGACAGTTTTCGTCTAGTGCCCATATTTGTTACATGCTTCTACGTCGTGCGAAAGGCAACGCTTGGTCGTGGCTCTCCTGTGCGACGCTGATCGACAGCTGGTCTAAGTTTGTAAGCTGAGTTGATAACGGAAGTTGTTTTGCCTCATTTGCCTTACCACCAGATCGATGACCACTTTCTTCGTCGCTTTCCCGCCAAGATCGAAAGTACTGTAAGACCTAGTCGCAGTGATTACGGTTTTCCGAGCGAACCAGTCATGCACGATGTTGTTTGACTCAGCCCCGGTAGGGAAAAATTAAGTAACCTAACATGTGTGTATCTCCTACGACCATCTTCTTGTCGTGGGCAACAAGGTATATCGGCATATATCCAGTGTACACTACCGTCCTTGTGTGATATCAAAATGCAGAACGCCTGTAGCTAGGTGGATTTTTACCGTTTGCATTTTGGATGTCCCGGGCTCAAGGATCAGGTTGAGGCGTAATTTTGTTTTTCTAACATACTGGCTTTTACAAGTGGTAATTCACTTAAACAAATAACTCAGCCCAAAAAGCATCAGCGTAAGAGGTAGTTGAAAGTAAGTGAAAGTAGTGAAAGAGGTAGTTAGTCGTTAAACCGTGAACAACGGGGATAACATGATGTGCCGGTGTGGCCAAAGCAGAATGGACAAAAAGCACGGCAATACTCTCTGAGGCACATGTCTCTTGACCCATCTGACAGACGATTATAAGTCATCAAAAAGCGTAAATGCACACTTAATTTAATTAACTGTAAATGACTTTATGATTCAAAACCTTAAGAAAACGAATAAGAGAAGACGCTCGAGCATTTAGCTGCAGATTGGCAAAAGAAACTATCACGCACATTCTAACTAAGAAAGGATTGAATCAACGATGGACGGTCAGAAAACTACAAATTTTATCC